GCTCCATGAAGACAACATGGGCTCCATGAATACATAAAGGTTGGAAACCTCTGCTCTAGACACGTGCACAAAATGTGAAGACAAAACCTGAAATTATTATGAATGACATGGTGTATAGCATTGTGGGTGTAACAGATACATAATGTGGTCATTAGAGCAGGCTTAAAAGTCTTGCTAACGACTTGGCATAGACATCATCTGTATTTATCAGCCTCATATTCAGTAGATCTTTGTCAATCATGAAATTGTGTTGAAACATTTTGTACAACCATTCATTCTAGTTGGAGTTACTAGTGTTACATCACAATGCTTTAAGCATTAATCTTGTTAGCATTGTCATTGGCTTTGTCTGCAATGTCTGTGTCACATCAAACCTTGTCAGGCTCTCTTTATTTCACCCCACTGTCATGTTGGACTGTAAATGTTTTTAATATAATTGTTATTTTAACATTTACATTCATCTGATTAATAAAGATAATTTAATATGTTGTTGTATTGAGGGTAACACTTTATTTTTGTTTTTATTATTCATTAATAATTATTATTTTATTTTATATTATGTATATATTATATCATTAGTTCTATCATTTGATAAACTCTATTTTTATTTAAAATTTATTTTGATAAATAAAAAGTAATGGTGATGAGTTACTACAATATTTTTTAAAATATAAATATATTTCATTGCCATTTTAGTAATAACCATAATGTATATCCATCCTTTATTATTAATATTGTTGTTATTTCTTCTGTTTTATTATTATTATTATTATTATTATTATTATTGGTAATCATCATCATGTACATTTAATTTCAGGAATATGTCTTTTTATATAAGACATATGTATGTCTTATAAAAGTCCTTCTAAGTATACTGTTATATTATGTTAAAGACCTGGCCTCAGATATTGAGGCATAAATATAGAAACTGTAGTTTCATTTATTAATTAATTTTTCATGATTTCTAAATAGCCAAGAAACATGACGAACTCCATGATGAGTTGATGCGGCGTGTCAACCAGGGTCAAGGGAGGAATTTCAACATTACCCGCACACCATCAACCAATACAGTTCCACTCACTTATAACTCCACCCCAGCTGGTGTCACAAAATGGCTACAGTCAAAGCGCTTCTCAAAACTGTAAGTGTGCCCTCTATATGAACAGTTGTATTTATGTTTTATTATTTATACATTATATAGATCACTAGTTTTCATCTGTTCTTTTCTCTCAGCATTCAGATTGTGCCATCAACAACTAAATATTTGAGCATAAACACTTTGTTTGAATTTAACATGTATTGTAAATGTTTGTTCAAACAATTTCAATTCACAGAACGGTGGATAGCCTTGGTGTTTTGACAGGCGCCCAGCTATTTAGTTTGACCAAGGAAGAGTTGAAGCAAGTGTGCTTTGATGATGGCCCACGTGTTTATAGTCAAGTGATGGTGGCTAGAGCCCCCTTGGAGGTAAGCGCCACACCTCAGTTTTGTGAAGGCTAACTCTATGATTGTTGTTGGATATCCACCTGAAGTATATGAGAGAATTAAAATTGATTACCGTACTCGCGCGAATACGCGCCGGGCATTTAAAATATTTTTTTGCACTTTTTGAGGGGCACTTATTCAAACAGGGCATTATTTAAATGAAAACAGAGTGGAAATTGAGGGGGTGCTTATGGAAATAGATGAAAATCGAAGGGGTTCTTATGGGAACTTTTTAAATTCAAGAGGCACTTTTTGAATGAAAAAAAGATTATAGGCTATATAAGGACATTACGAATGGTGGTGTGGAGGGAAAGATAATCGTCCAGAGAACTGGTTCATGACAAAAATGCTGTGAATATTTACATGACAGCCGAATAGCAGATGCATTTGTGGGTAGTGGTTATAAGCTTGTAGATTAGCAGGATGGCAGGATCATTGCAGGTTTTCTTGAAAACTCAGATGAGAATGTGCTGAAGGTGCAAATTGTCAGAAAAAGAAAAAGAGGAGTAGGACTAGGCTTAGACATTAATATGCAAGAAGAGGAAAGTTGAAAATATACTGTTTGTCCAGGGATCGAAGCTCTCATCTCCAAGAGAAATATCCTCATTTTGACATTGACCTAAGAAGAATGTGATTTTACTCTGCAGCTCAAATCATGCCAACAACCGCAGTCCTAGGATTGATTGGATTATTGACTTGCTAAAAAGAAAATCTTATGATATTATTGAAGGGGGCTTATTCAAATGGGCCGCTTAAGGAAATTTTCATGGGGCGCTTATTCAAGAGTGGTGCTTATTCAAACGGGACACTTATTCGCTCGAGTACGGTATTGATGAATCCTAGAAAGAGACATTCTTAAAAGTATGAAATAAGCCATGAAAACAAAATATTTAGTATGTTTCTTCAGGAGGTTGTTATTACAAAGCTTTTTATTAGAAGTACCTCGTAGTGACTCATGTAAGGTATACTATCCTATCTCTGCAGCTTCACCATATTATACATTATTGATGTTAATATGAACTGTGGTTTTCAGCTAATAAAGCGACTCCTAACTTTGCTGTAATTTAGGCGTGGGGAAGGGAGATTGGCTTATACCTGAGTCAGTATGATAATTATAATTGTTTCTGGCTTGTGAAAATTAACACAATTGTTTAGCATAACTCATTTTTATATTTGTGACATTCCTCATATCCTCACTAACCATGTTCCTTCCCTTTATCACTTTCCAGCAAAAATCCACGACCTCTGAACTTGCATTAATAATGGAGCGAAGGAAAGTACGATCTTCCTCGAACGAGAGCGGTAGCCTGGACGATAACATTCCTCTCAACAATCCTCCCCCGGACTTCAACCCTGCCCTCCCTAATGTTTAGTGTCACTTCACTTGGTTAGGTAATGTAATTCCTTATCATGTGACATTCCACCATACAATTATTCATTCTAAATGCTTATGCTGTATAATGTAAACACATGACACATAAAAATATACGCATATATCAAAGACGTAATGTAGTTGTAATAAGATTTCTGATCTTCACAAATGAATATTTGATAATCATAATATTTGGTATATTTTTCTAGTGTAATTGAAGGTTGTTGATGTAGATTTAAGCATTCCGTAAAACAAAGCCTAGTAAAAATACAAATCATAATAAAAAATATTTAACTGTGGAGGGACAAATCTATTGTAAATATTGATAAATTACCTTATTACTAAAATTATTTTATATAATCAATAATTAAATATGTATGGAAATGAGATGAAAACATTGTATGTTATTGTTGTAACCTTGAATTTGTTATAAATATATTTTTTATTGCGATTACTATTTTCATTATTGATAATTTTACTGTTACCTTTCAATATATTTACCTTTCTTTTTTTCAATATAATAATCTATATGATCGTTGAAGGTTGTAAAACAATGATAAAATAGAACAATTAATGGGAACTTACAATATTATCTTTAAAAAGATCTTAAATTCAATTTGGATGAAATTCAAACATAGTATAGTGAGGATGTATTGTTTAAAAACACTTTTAATGACTATGCAAGGGTGAAATAGGATCTTAACTTAATTAGCTTTATAATTGACATACTATCATTATTATTGTATAAACATATTAAACAGGAAGTTTTAGTCGTATTATGTATGCAACATACTTTTAGATAATTGATGAATCATTGCATTTGTGAAATTTAACCAAATTGTGTTTATTTTTTTGGTTTTGTTGTGCATATTGCCTTTAAAGTTGATATTTCATTTATAGGGTTGTCATGCGTAATGGTGTATAATACAAGGACTTTACTTTTATTTATACCTTAATTGGCTCTAGCCATGCACCTTCTTTTTTTCTTTTTTTTCACAGGACAGAGAGCTCATTATACACACATAAATGGATAAATAATTTAATTGTCATGCAATCCAAAACTTATGGTTGCAAACAAATTATTTACTAGCCCATGAAGCTTTTTAGGATACTAAAAACACCCAAAATGTATCTAGTTGTTTTTCACAAATACTCAGGTACATTTCCAATATACGACTATCATTTGAATGACCACTTCTGCCACCAACGTATATTTTTTTTTCTTTTGCACCCCACATGCATGTTCCCTGTTTCTTGCTGTAAATTTTATTTCATAATTTCTTATGAAGCTGAGCTTAATAACATTGATCACAAGATATTCCTGGCAAAACCTGAATGTATATATCATTTCTAAATTGTATTATATAGATGAGGATTAGACTATGTTTATATATTTTTGAATGAAAGACATATAAAGCATCTCAAAAATGGTAATGTATTCATATAATTAGATTTATAAGGATTGAAAATTGTATTTTACATAACAGGTGATTTTAGTGAGTTTTTTTAGCTGTTAGCCTAAGAGTATAATTTATTATTGCTATATGATAAAAAAAAAAAAAAAAAAAAGGCATCATGGAGTATAAGCAACTATATTTTCCTGAGATGGTGGTTGTACTTTATTCAAAATGTCAAACTCAAAGAGCTCAATCACCAAGCGCATAGACACTTTTTCACATGATGCGCTATACATATCCAACTATTATTATTATTATTATTACTTTCAAATTCAATCATTCAAGAAGCTGTAAGCAAACAGTTTCTACACCATCTGTTTTGATCAAGATTGATTGCAATGGAGCAGTTAAGTGATAATCTAGTGATAAAAATAAATTAAACTTGTTGACCATATGTTAATCTAGTTAACCAGCCGTGTATTAATATAGTTAATTATGTATTCTACTAGTTAATTATGTGTTATTTATTTTAACCAGAGAGGAATTTTAACTAGTCAATATAATTATTCATGTATTATGTCATATTTAATCCAGTCAAACTAGTTAATCTGATTAAATATGTGTTTATCTACTTAATCATATGTTCAAATAATTAATTATGCTTTAACCAAGAACTAGCTAATCTAGTTAACTCTGTGTTAATCTAGTTAATCATGTTTTAATCTAGTTAACCATGTGTTATTCTGGTTAAACTAGTTTAAACTGTATGTTAATCTTGGTGAGACATTTATACTCATTAAATTCTCTCTTTTAAATACCAATTAGATCCCATAGTGCTTCCTGTTTGCTTAAAAATGTTTATTGCATTGTGGGAGGTGTAGTTCTTCATGAATATATTTTGATTATTCTTATTCTATTAATTTGGTTATTTGTTTATATTTAAAAGTTGACCGAAAACTGTCAAATGGCTGTGGTATATAATGATCATTGGCAAACTGTATCTCTATTTTAAGTTAATAATAATCATCTGCTGGGCTGTTAACTATATTGATAGGGACTTGCTTCTTTCATTAGTATTACATTCTTCGACACGATTAATAATTATTATTTTATCTACATGATATCTCAAGATAGACTTGAAAAAAAACCTCACAATGATAATATGTCATATAAATATGATATAGTTTTAGTGTGAGATAATGGTTGTTATTAAAAACAAGGTGTTTTTCAAAGATTATTATTTGAAGTCAATACAGTTGATATAATTTTGGTTATTTTAGTGCATTTGCTGAACATTATAATCATTGCTTACAACTGCTGAATTAATAAAGTATGTTACAGTAGAAAACATGCAACCTATCTTATTCATTTGTGTCTCAGAAATGTTTCGAAGCATGTTAACACGTTATTATTATTATTATTATTAATATAGATTACACATGTTGTTATTTCATTGTTATTTTGTAAACATAAATTGAAATAGATTATTGTGGTCAGTTTGAAATAACGATGTATATTTCGTCATTAATGATTATGCAACAGCTACTATAATTGTCACTGCGATTGTTTACTAGCACTCGGTTGGGGATGTGGGAAAACATTGAACATTGAATTTGTAATTGTGTAATAGCGCCACCAACGTTGGCGTATTGAATGGTAGTTTTTATTCTGGTAAATGGTATACCAGCGGTATACCCTGGTAATTGTAATGGTAGTTGTATTTAGCAACTACCATTTACTTTACCAGAAAAAAAAACGGTAGTTGCTAAATACAACGGGTTCAGCCCACAATGATAATATGTCATATAAATATGATATAGTTTTAGTGTGAGATAATGGTTGTTATTAAAAACAAGGTGTTTTTCAAAGATTATTATTTGAAGTCAATACAGTTGATATAATTTTGGTTATTTTAGTGCATTTGCTGAACATTATAATCATTGCTTACAACTGCTGAATTAATAAAGTATGTTACAGTAGAAAACATGCAACCTATCTTATTCATTTGTGTCTCAGAAATGTTTCGAAGCATGTTAACACGTTATTATTATTATTATTATTAATATAGATTACACATGTTGTTATTTCATTGTTATTTTGTAAACATAAATTGAAATAGATTATTGTGGTCAGTTTGAAATAACGATGTATATTTCGTCATTAATGATTATGCAACAGCTACTATAATTGTCACTGCGATTGTTTACTAGCACTCGGTTGGGGATGTGGGAAAACATCGAACATTGAATTTGTAATTGTGTAATAGCGCCACCAACGTTGGCGTATTGAACGGTAGTTTTTATTCTGGTAAATGGTATACCAGCGGTATACCCTGGTAATTGTAATGGTAGTTGTATTTAGCAACTACCATTTACTTTACCAGAATAAAAAAACGGTAGTTGCTAAATACAACGGGTTCAGCCGAGGGGGTGTGGCTTGTATGGTGACTACCCTGGTAAATTCCCGACATGAAAATTCCCAAAGTCAACGTAACGCGGCGGGTGGAAAGTACATACAGTATTCTAATTTTAGTTGTATGACTAAACTATACTATTATGTTGGAAATATTAACATAAATTTTCCAACGAAAATGAAAAAAAGGCCTATAATATAAAAAAGAAGGAATATAATGCAGGTCTATATGAGGTTTACGTGTACCGAATTCTTAAATTATTGTCATAAAAATCGCTCACAGGTTAGTGTGCATCTGCCCTGGAACACTAGATATCATTCGTGGTGTGCCACAGAAGGTAGGCCTATTCTGGGTCCTAGTTTTTTTTTTCAGTCTTAATTAGACTGTATTCCAGGGGTGGCGCCAGAATTTGACCGACGGGGTGGCGGCCGAGGTCCCCGACGGAGGGGGGGGGGCGATGCCCCGACGAGGGGTCAGATTTCCCCGACGAAAGCAAATTTAAATTTATGCATAGAATCGTTTTCACCAATGCAAAATTGTTTTAAGATTGGTCTGGTAAAGTCTGAACTATGCTCTTTCTGTAATAAGGAAAATGATCATCTCTTACACATGTTTGTTGAGTGTAGAATCAGTCTTCCTTTGTGGGAAACTACTAAAGAATTTATCTTTAATGAAACTAATACAGTAATTAATTTTGACACAAAAAGTATCTGCTTTGGAGAGCCTGATTTACCACCAATTGTTAATTCTTTCATATTGTTCACTAAATATTATATCTATAGCTGTAAATTACAAAAATTCCTCATTTCAAGGATCTAAAACTCAGACTAGAAAAATATAAAGATGAACTCAGACTCTTTAATTCAATCTCCTTACTGTATTGTAAACTCAATAGCATGCTTATTATTATTTCTTCTTTTTTGTTATTGCGGTTTTTGGTATTATTGTTGTCATTATTATCAATGACAACAATGATGATAACAATAATAATAATTTGTTTTTCTTGTACAATTGTATTGTATTATATTATGTCTATTTTTTAGTAAGGCTTTTTGTTATTTTTTCTGTTAAATGTTATGAATGTATTATGCATGAAAGAAAAGAAAAAAAAAAGAAAAAAAAAACATTGTTTAAGCTCGCAACTGAATTTTGCGTGCTTTTGCATCTGCAAATAAGTTAATAACATGATCAAAGTTAACAATGTTGTCTGCTTCATCGTACTTAATACTAAGGTGTGCCAAAGCAGATAGTCTGACTTGTCCCATCGTGGCTCTGAGATATGGCAGGATGAGCTTTAGCAATGTAGTCAGAATACAGAATAGGATAAGAAAAAAAAAGAGAAAACGGTCAAAATGGACTGAAAAAAAAAATCAAAATCTATAAATATGCCAATAAAAACAACTACATTCAGATTTTTATTATTAACTGGAAAATATTCATGTCTGACGACATACATCAATTTCGTCATGCTCTTCTAAAAATGCTCCCCAACCTGGCGCCCAGGGCACGTGCTCCTCCCCTTTACCACCTAGCTACGCTACTGAATATTATATTTTTGTAAAAAAAAAAACGGTAAATTTCATTAGCATAAATAGGCCAAATTAAAACAATAGCCGTAAACGCTTGTATTCTTTTTAGACCCTCGTATTCCTTACGTGACAATGCAATTTTTAAATGTGCAGAAGCATGTCAAGGAGCACTGGATGTCTGCTTGACATTAATAATAATATTAATAATAATAATTATTATTATTATTAGTATTGTTATTGCCGTCGTCGTCGTTGTTTTGCAGTAATCGAACATATTTATATTTGTGAGACTTGAAATAGAGGTTCACTGACCACGTTTCAATGAAATAATTATCGATCTGCTTCGTACCGACAATTTGGTTTTACCGATTCATGAAATTCAGAATATAATCATGTGAAAGTCGTCGACATTGATAACTGGTTGTTTAGCGATGGTTCTGTGTTTTTGGAAAATCCGGTGTATTGGGTACCATTGCTCCCGCCGGATTAACGTTTAACATTTTTATACTTTATATTGTAAGTCTACAAAATTCATTCTTATGCGTGCCTGGAAATC